CAGGAAAATAAAGTCCTTGTTCCAGTGATCGCATCTTCTTCTTCGGAAATGCAAAATGATTTGGTTTATTTAAAGCCTTAATAAATTTAAAAATGGCATGCGCTGACTTAATGTTCCGGTTTAAAAGAGACTAGCGCAACATAATTGGTATTGACAAGGCATTTTGGCGCTCTGGGCATGGTTGTTATGCGTTTTCTGTAAACGTATAACTTGGTCTCTCTCAAGGCAATCTAATGTTAAGGGTACAACACAAAATAAATATAATTCGTTCATTATAGATTATATAGATTCAGAACTGTTAATGGTAGCACAGGAGAGTGAACTATATTTCCTAAATTATGTGTTGCCCCATCCGTCTGAGCCACAATTTTCAGTAATATACAGTTTTCAGTGAAAAAGGTTAAAATTATGTCACTCACCACGACTCGATTACGGAAGAAGATGAAGGTGGGATACATCGTCACGTTGAACTGCCGGGCAAGAGCCTACAATATTCGTTTTCTATGAACGGAACTAATTGTAGTCTTACCATGTTTTTGCTTGCGTCCACCGCCATAACCACTATACGCTTATTTGCCTTGCTTATCTCCTGCATAAGCTTCATTACGTCTTCATTGCTAGGATCGCGGAAATTCACAAAAGCAACCATGACGAGACGGGCCTTGGCAGTACTAAGGCACTCCTCAAAGGACATATCGATCTGCAAGTGTAGATAATTAGCTTGATTAATATAGTTGTCTTATTGTTTATAGTACTTTGGTTAGGGGAAGCTTGAACGCTAAACAAAAGCAGGAAGCGCTGCGTTTAAATGCCTTTGCATAAAGCAGCCGAGGGTTTTGCTGTACAATATGACTTACTTCAGACAGTGAAGTCATGTTTCTGACCTGAATGCAAAATGGACCGAAGAATAATTGTTTACATCCGAAATCACATAGTAGGTAACCCATGGCCCCCATTAAAATGTATTTTTATAAATTTTATGCATGTTAGGTGACCTGTATAAACACATGACTCAACGATTTCCCTTAAACGCTACCGAGCTATCAAGTCTCTGCAAGGAATAAGACTCTCTGCAAAGGTCCGATCTCTCACAATTACAAAAGGTTATTGGTGTTGAAAAGTTTCTAACTAACGTTTACAGAAATATATAGGAAAAATTAGTTTAGACCAGGAAAAGTTATAGAAATCGCTAAACATAAAACAACGTTTAATGCTCATCTGCTGAAAGTCAAACTGGAGGGAGTAATAGTGCAGAATGACAGAATATACTACCTTGAAAATTGATAGGACCGTACATCATGGCAAATATAACCGACAATAAAAAATATCGAGAATATAAAAATGAACTCACGGAGATCTGGTATAAGAATATCCAAGCCCTAAATCAACCGAACGACGCTAGCTAGTGTGCAAGCAAAAGCAAAATTTCCGCTTATTTAAGCTGCGTACTCTGCTGGGATGTTTCTTTGTCTGCGGCGGCACACCTGACACGATTGGTTCAAAGATCACACAAACGTCTCTCCCCCCCTCACACAGTGCAGAAGCTTGAGCACATCGATGGTCATGGTCGCCGCGTTCGAACCTTGCATGCACCACCAGCTTTCGTGTGTGTGTGTGTGTTTGTGTGTGTGTGTGTGTGTGTGTGTGT